GCTTTTCAGGAGACTGGCAGTGGAGCTCAGTTCTCCAGGGGAGCCGGGCACCCGCTCCTGCCCTTTGGTGTCGCCTCCGAAGCGCCGAGGACAAAGCTGAGAGCAGGCGAGGGCTGATCAGCAGGGGCTGCAAAGTGGCTTCCGGGTTTGGCGGAGGAAGGGTCTGGCCAGGGGGCGGGCGCTAACCGGCAGGGTCCCCAGAGGACACTGATGGGAATAGGGTTCTTCTGGGAGAGGTGAGAATTAAGGATTAAAGATCGCTGGACAGTTTCTCCCCAGATCCTAAAATCTAGCACCCTGCCCCACAAGAAGTTTTAAAAACCTGCCTTTGAGCCTTCTGGCGGACATGCTTTTGGGTACCCTACCCTCGGAGGTGGCACGCCTCCAAGACACAGGGTCTGCAAGGGGCATGGAGCATCCCACCTGGATTGCAGCTGTACTTGTCTGGGGTACTTGTCTGGGCTACGAGCCTGGTCCCTGGGACCTTTCAGCTCCTCACACCCGACAGGGGCAGAGGGCAAGGCCTGAGGGACAGAACTGAAGGCTCAGAGGAAGGGAAAAAAAAAAAAAACCCTGAGAAACGTGGGGGGGGGGGGGTGGAGGCAAGGAACTGGGGAGAGAGGCAAGAATGGGGCTAAACTTAATTGGGGATACAGAGGAACTTTAACCCTGGTCCCCCCAAAGACAAGCTCAGATGTCTCATCTTTGAGAAACTGGGCAGCAGGCTTTCCTGGGGTCTGAGGGGTCTCCCTTTTCCAGGAACCTCAGGTTTTCCATATCTCCTCTCTCTGGCTTTCCTGACATTTCCAGGGCTCCCCAGGCTCCAGCCCTACCTTTACACCCCAGCAACCTGGTCTGTTTTCAAGCCTGTGAAGGACTGGGACTAGGGGAGAGGACAGGGGACAGAGGGACTTCATGTTGTTCTCTGTCCCCAGCAGCGCAGAGGACAGCCCCTCCCCTCTCCCCTCTCCCTCTCCCTCTCCCATCTCAGCCCTGTTACATGGTGTGATGGAGTCATCCAGTTAGGATTCCCCTCCTCTTCTTTGCAGCTGACTGGGAGGCCTGAGCATTCGATAGTCATTCCTTGCAGTTCTAGGGTGTACAGTTCTAGGGTGTAACACCCTCCGTCTCCAAGGACCTCCAGGCTTTACAGACATTATTGATCTGCCTGGAGGATGCTGAGACTCTGAGTGTTTAAGCTATTTGCCTCAGGACACACACCAGCCACGGAAAGCATTTTGCTCCAGAGCCCCTTTCCTAAGCCATGGAGCGCTTAGGCTGTGACTTTTACCCTGTGGCCTCTGCCTGGGGTTGAGCCTTGATAAAGACTGTGGGTGGCTTGTAGGGTCACCACAGACTTGTATGTTGGGACAGCAAGCCCATTGAGGGGTAGGGAGGGTGGCTGCAAGGAGGCTCTGTAATTTTAGAGCAGTGTTTTGCCAGAAGAAAGAGACCAACTCCTGGAGAGCAGACAGGGTTGTCTCAGAGCCCTCCCTCTTCGATTGCATTCAGAATCACGTCTTTTAAGCGACGGAATGAGACAATTCCACAAGGACAAAGTGCAGCTGTCAGGACAGGAAATGGAGTTTGGAGCAGGTTATTTTCCTTCTCTTCAGCCTCCCAACTTTGGTCCCTGAGAAAAAGTGTGACATTTCAGAGTCTTCAGTGGAAGGGAAATAAACAGGCAGTGCTGATGGTCTCTACAGCAATCCAGTCGTCCCTGAATGAATGGGTATGTGGTTGATAAGTTTCTTTTCTCTCACTGTTTTATTTTTTTATTTCTACTCTATCACCCAATGTTCACTCTGAGCAGGTGGCTAATGGATCTGCTTAGGTTACAGGATGGTTTTCAATTTGGCTGGATTCACTCAGCTGTATAGCCAACTATTTTTTTTATGTCTTTTAAAGGCTTAGGATGGAGCTGAACCCCAAAGATGCTGGCAGGGACACTCTGACTCATTAAGACAGACTGAGTGTCAGCAGAGAGAGAAGACATCGGCTTCTGAGGCCTCATCCCAGAGGAATTCCCAGCTGTGTTGCTCAAGGCATCACCTGGCCAAATGGAGATCACCCTGGGAGTCATGGAGGAGAATGCCACCAACATCTCCACTGGCTTCCTTTCCGTGCTTGACCCCCACGGAGCCCAGGCTGCTGCCTTCCCATTTAACTTCAGCTATGGTGACTATGATATGCCCTTGGATGAAGATGAGGATGTAACCAATTCTCTGACTTTTTTTGCTGCCAAGATTGTCATTGGCATGGCCCTGGTGGGCATCATGCTGGTCTGTGGCATTGGCAACTTCATCTTCATTGCTGCCCTGGCCCGCTACAAAAAGCTTCGCAACCTCACCAACCTACTCATTGCCAACCTGGCCATCTCTGATTTCCTGGTGGCCATTGTCTGCTGCCCCTTTGAGATGGACTACTACGTGGTGCGCCAGCTCTCCTGGGAGCATGGCCACATCCTGTGCGCCTCTGTCAACTACCTGCGTACTGTCTCTCTCTACGTCTCCACCAATGCTTTGCTGGCTATCGCCATCGACAGGTGAGTAAGGGGACGGTGGGGACAACGAAGGAAGGGGCATTGGAATTGTTAGTCGCAATTATACTTAATGAGAGATATCTGTATTCACCATAGATGTGGATATATAAGGGCTCAAAAGTTAGCCCCATGGCTTCTTGGCCTTTTTGCTAAGATCAAGTGTAGCTCATTGACTGACAGTGAGAAGGGTTCTAGATTTCCAGCTTTGGGCAGGCCGGAGGTAGCAGAGCCCCGATGAGTTGGGCAGTGGGAAGGCTTTGGATCCCTCTGCTATGGTTATGCTCCCAGATGTTGTATCTGTTCAAGGTCTAGAGAGAGAGACAGGTAGTAGGTGTGGAGGAACAAGATTAAACGCTAGGCAGGTAACTCTAGAGTCAACTTGGAAATCTTGATGGAGGTTGGACTCTAATTACAAAACACCTTGTTAGAGTGTAGAGACAGTTACCTTGAGGGTTGAATCAGGCCTCCGTGTACTTGAATCTGAACAGCCCGTCTCTCTCCCTTAACCCAGAAAGCCTGAAGCACACATGTTCTCCCTGTTCCATGGCCTCGGGGCTCTGGTGGAGTTCAGCCTGTCTCTCATAGTCAGAACAATGTTCCGGGAGGCAGCACAGCAAATAGAGCCTGTTTTCTGGAGCCATAGACAGGACAAGCAGGGATACAGTGACCTGGAAAGAGACCACCCCTGAGAAAAGGGGGTTAAAAGGGAACCAGGCTTTAAAGCCACTGAAGGGTGGAGCCTTGAGAAGGATGATGTCAGGGAGTTAGAAGTTTAAATAGCCCTTAGTCTACACCCATAGAAGGTGCTTAGAGGGTCATCCCTGCAGAGGGCTACTTCTTCTTGGCCAAGGTCTTCCACATGAGTCACAGAGCCCCACAGTATATTGTCCATCCAGAGATGGACCCTGAGTGGACCTACAGAAGGAACTGGGTATCTGCCCCTTAAGCCCTCTTCATAGCTGTCGAAGAAAGCTCCAGGGACCTTATCTTTGACCTTTTCTACAAGTAGAAGCTACCACCACCTCTCTTAGTACATCAACAGGACAAAGCATACAGGGTCATTTCCTGAAGTTTCATTCTAGCTAGACATCTTTTCACAAGGGGTGTTCTCAGCCACTAACAGCAGTGTGTGTGTGTGGGGGGGTGACCTGCTGTCTGGGTGAAATCCATTTCACCATGTGGGGGTCCACTTGTCGAAAGGTGTAACACTGTAGTGGTGAGTGGCTTCAAGGACAAATTCATTGGAATTGGGTTATTTTGAACATATAAGAGGAGAGATCTATGTTGATCTACTGAACTCCTACAAGTCCTTATCCTACTTTCATACTAAACTCTGCTTGTCTGAAATACTGCAGGCATTTCTCTGGCCATGTGAGTTTATATAATGCAATTTAAATACAGTAAGAAAGATTAATTGGGGAACCTGCACAGCATCATAGAGACTGCTGTTGTTCAGAATGGAGTTGTGAGTGAAAACTTGCACCCACACATTGGAGGAAAGCATTGTTGCCTGCACAGGGCCATCCAACGGCCTTGGCCAACTAACTAGCTGTGCCAGTACATTAAGTTCTTTTATTGATGTTTGTAATCTTTGCTTCAAATCATTTTTATTTTCATGTGTCTTTACTATCTAATTTCAATTTAGTCGAGGACTTCATTGATTATTGTCTGGTCTCGTGTTGTTCAGGATTTGATCAGATTTTCAGGTTTGATTTGTTTAGTTTTGGACAACTAATTTTTATCCTGATATAACAATATAACTACGGTTATAAAACTACATTTTAAAAATGAAATTTCTATAGGACAATAATGTTAGCAGTTATTCTGCCTAGGTTTAAATTCCTGTGGTACCATCTATTAGCCTTATATTAATTATTTGGCCTTACTCTTCCTCAGTTTTCTCATGTATAAAATAGGAATAATAAGAAAACCTAATGTATTGGGTTGCCTTGAGGATTAAATTATATAATATATGTAATTGTTTGAACAATGTTTAAAACAGAATACCCACCAAGTAAACAGTGGATATTATAGTTCTTGAATTAACCCTTAAAGGAATAACAACAAAAACACACAGAGATAAATGAATGAATATTTCTGATTGGTTAACCTCTTTGTTTTCACTGAAGTGATTGTTTTAATGATGTGATTTAAAAGATAATAATACAAGGTTTCTAAGAAACACTGCTATCAAGATATAGCAGAACAGAACGGTTACTCTTCTACCGGCCTGGACTTCTTTGTTTCTGTTATTGGTTCCTTGGTTTTCCAGGCATCTAAACTAGCAGGTCTCCTCCGTCCTGGCCACTCTCTCCCTTTCTCCAGCATTCATTTCATTTCCAAGTTCCGCCAATACTGACCCGCCCTCCCACCTATTCACTCAGGGCTGGACAATCATAGTCTCCTCTTGGCCCTCCATGTCTCTTGGCTCTGCTCTCTGCCAATCTACTCCCCTCATAATCCTCCCTAAACATTCATTCATTCATTCATTCATTCATTCAAACAATGCATTTTTGTAGAACGACTGCATGTGACAGATACTATTCTAAGCATTGGGGATATGGTGAATAAGAAAAAAAATTCTTTGCCCTCATGGAACTTACTTACATCCATGGGATGGAGAGAATTAGCAGTTAGGCACACAAACAAGAAAGGCATTTTTAGAGCATGAGAAATACTCTGAACAAAAACAAACAAACACTAAAACATTGAGAGTGACTGAGGGTGGGAGACACCAGGTGTAGAGTCAGGAAAAGTGTGTCTGAGAAGACTTTTGAACCTACCTCTGAAAGATGGCGGAGGAAAAAAAAAAGCCAGCCTTGTGAAGACTGATAAAAAAGCATCCCAGATAAAGGGAATAATCAGTGCAAAGGCCCTGAACAGGAACAAGCCTGATGGGTTCTAAGAACAAAGAGAAGGCCCCTGTGGCCTGAGGGAATAAAGCGAGACTGCAGCCAAATTAATCTTCTGTCTTGTATGTCTCCCATCTCTGGCTCTAAAGACCTCAAAGAACTCATTGTCTACAACCTATGCCTCAAACTCCTTCGCCTGCTCTTGAAACCTTCCATTATTGAGCCCAAGGCTGTCTCCCAGTCTCATGCTGGGTAAACACACTTATGTCCTTTTTTCCAAATAAGGTTACAGTATTTTTGAAGGGTTGCCGCCATGGTTGACTACATTTCTATTTGCTTGGTGCCAGGAACTATTGAGAGTGAAGTTTCACTAAAATCCCAGATGCCCATAATTCACAGACAGCAAAAGCTTATAAAAGAAGTAAGACATGGTCCCTGCTCTCTGGAGCTCACCACCTAAAGTGGGAGAGGTGGGTGGGGAGTGAGGTGACACTTCTGAAACAGTTAAAGGATAAAGAATAAATTTTAAAAGAAATTTACAGAGATCATCGTGTATCTGAGGAGTTAAAGGAGGTTTCATGGAAGAGGGGGACTTTTTAACTGGCTTTTAACAAATGGTGATCCACAAAGTAGAGGAGAGGTTTTCCAAGAGGAACAGTGTTTACAACAGCCTAGAAGTGGGAAGGCTTGAGGCATGAGCTTTCTTGCAGAGGATGTAGGGCAGAGGCAAGGAACGTTTGGAAAGTCAAGGATAAGGTCCTATTCCAGAATATCTCAAAATCTAGACACACGGAGTCAGATCTGATGGCAGCAGGAAACTGAAAAAGGTCATCAGAGGACCCTGGCACTCCAGATCTTGGTTTCTTTGATGTGGAGACACCTGTACTGTCCTGGAGGTGTATCCTTCAGATCCCAGAGCATGAGGGGCATTGTGGGACCCTTCCTTCTTTTACCCCAAATCCAGGGGAAACTGACCAGTCTGCCTGCCATTGTCAGCTCTCCTCTTCTGTCTGAATGAGGCCTGCTAAGGCATGAGTAATCATTCTCAGTCCCAGGTCCTACAAATGCTACCCGGTGAGATTATTGGTCAGAGCTGGCTGGCCCAAGGAGTAAGTCATCCAATCCCTGCCCATCCTATGACTGGCCTAGTAACTACTGCAACCTTCGCTTCCATGGTTTGATCTGGGGCTGGGTCCTGGGGACAGAGAGGGAGCCCAATGCTCTTTGTTTAATCACCCAGCCCACTATCACCAGACAGTTACTGCCTGGACATTTCTTTGTCTATCAGCCTTCATTCCTTGTTGGTGCAAAGTGGATCTGGACCTGAGCCAACTGTAGTGGTAGACACACAGGGCAAGCCAAGGGCATACTCAGAAGCTGCCAATTGCCTGACTCCTTGGAACATCAATAAGTAGAAACCAATTGTGATGGAGAGAAAAGAGAAGGAATATTTGATGTCAAAAGGGTAGGACGAAGGGATATTGCTTGCTTTGGTTGAAAAGGGTGGGGACAAATGGCGTATTTGAGAACTCACTGCATTTGGAGCAAGAGATGGATGGGTCTGCATCATGGCCCTATCAATTTCTAGCTGTGTGGCTTTTGGCAGGTTATTTAGCCTCTCCAAATCTTAGTCTGCTTATCTGTAAAGTGGGTATTTTTGCTCTTTTATCTATTCTAATGAGAGGGTGGATTTGAAAATGTTCTATAAATTGTAAACTGCTTTACAAACATAAGCAGTTCTGAGTTTTGATCCTAGCATACCCAAGACTGATGACAATCCTTAAAGCAGTTTCTGCAATTTGCATATTGGTAAATGTATTTGGACGGCCTCTTGCTCAATTCCTGGACCTAAAACTGTGGATAGAGTTAAGGTGATGTCAGAGAAAGCCAGGATGAAAAAAACTATCAGATGGGTTGTCACAGATTACCCGAAGGTTAGTTTTAATATGAAAATAAGTAGAATCAGTAAAATATCCTATCTAATAAAAGACAAAAAGGGTAATTGACCATACCTCCGATACGTTTCCCATTGGCTAATCAGCGAGATATGCAAATTAACTGCCAACAAAGATGGCGGCCGGCAGCCACGCAGCTGAAGCGAGCAGGAGGTTTGCTTGCTCCAGTGATGGAGGAAGCCAATGTTCCCCGCCTGCTGAGGCCTGGCTCTAAGATCTGAAAGCAACAAAGTTTCAATTATAGAAGCTAAACAAACCTCAGATACCTGCTTTCAGCCAGCCGCGGCCTCAGAGCTGGGAGCGCCAGTTACAGCAACAGAGTTTCAATTATAGAAGGTAAATAAATCCCAGAACAAAAAAAAAAAAAAAAAAAAGCTAGG